TCAACATGTGATTAGTTCCTGGTTGTGACAAAAAGCTATTTGAACTGTATTTTTGCTGAGCCAGAGAAAGCTGTCAGAGACGCTAAAAGCTCTGTTGCAACGATTTTGTGATTAAAAACATACCAAAAATGGTTTTTGTTACCTTTCACCATGTAGTTTTAAGATCTTTATAAATGTGTTTGCTTTTCTGTATGTGAAGGCGAAATATAAGAAATTAAGAAAACAAGAATTATCCTATGCTTCTTTTTTTCAGGAAAATGCTGATGCCAGCATTTTTGTTGCGATTCAAGGCTAATTATGTCGAAAAAATACGTGGCTACCCCCATTTTTCTTTGTGGATTCTAACAGCCCTTGCAAAGATCTACTTTGTCCGCATGCATGGTCCTAATCTGGTACAAAAACTTTGTATTTATCAGGCACCGTCTTTAAATTGGAGTTTTGTACAAACAAAGTAATTCACAACGTATTTGGTTACTCGACAAATTGACGGCCAAACAGCGACAAGGTTTAATGTCATGTTGTCATAATTACTATAACCGGAAAGGAGAGCGCCGAGTTTGTCAGTTTTCAGTCAAAGCGCACGCAACATTGCCTCGTCAGTTTGATGCCACGACGCTGGAGATCTTTAGTGTCGCTTAGCAACAGTCGCTGAAAGAAAACTGTATGCCCGCCATTTCTTGAAGGCGTGGAATACTTGAAAGACACTTTTGACTTGTGTTTTTTTCTCGCAACTTTCGCAGGAAATCGTCGCGTAATATAGAGTCAAAATAAGGTTTAAAATGCGTGTTAATTTAATGAGCAATTCCATTAAGCAGGTGTTCCAGACCAACAGAAATGAAAAACATTGGCAGTTTTCATTTATGCAGCCTTCATGTAATGAAATACAAATATCCATAAAAGAGAGCATCTTGTGTAAATACAAATTAAGAGAACTTCCTTCGCTCAACTTAAGGACAGATACGACCAATTGAAATTAAAAACTTTACCAAAATCCATTTAACCATGCTCTGGAAAGCCATTTAACTCGGATCTTTTGAATTAAAATACACTGATGTAATACCATAAACATAAAAGTCTGAAATTTTTCGCAATTTAAGATAGCTTCAAGTGATCACAGAGAAGGTGACAGTTAATTGATTTTTTCTTCGTCTGCCAAGGTTGATGGGGAGTCAGGTTTCTGTGACGGAAAGTAAAACTGATTTTGTTGGTGTTTGCAATATTATTGGTAGAGACAGCACGAATTTGCATTGGGTTAAAAAAAGAAGTCTCAGATCAGCTCGTTCGTAAAGTACTTAAAGAGAAAAGTTGCCTACCATTTTTATTTATTCCGAAAAAATGGAATATGTCAGTTTCCTTACCAAATCAATCCAAGTGATGGATGGTGTTAAATGGGACTTGCAACCAGCTGCGAGTACAAAAGCAAAATTTTGTGTGAATGGACTTAAACCGTTTTTTAGCCCACGCTAAACCCAGTAAGCCAACAAAGACACAAGCAAATTAAAAGATATTATCTCAAGCAGTTATATGTTCACTATGCACCTGTCTCTGTTTTAATATTCTCCTAGATAATCCACTTTTAAGGTGCTTCAATGCTTCTGTGGTCATTGCGTGGCCTAGGACATAGAATTTTGTGTGTGACATTCGTTTGACATCAAACAAGATGCTCCGTAATTAAAGTGTGGCATGTATTTATTCCACTACTTGAATTCATCACAGGGCGAGGGAGGGACGCTTGCTGTTCACCTGTAGCCAGCTTTTGCCACTTAACTCGGCTCTTATCTTTTTTGATAGATACTTGTGGGATTCACGTTCTCGTGTTTAAATGGAGAAAGCGGCTATCAAAGAGGTTCAAGGCCTTTCCTATCCCAACATGACTGCTAACCTGTCCTCAGGAGATCTGGTGTCCGAGAGCGGGTGTTTCCACGGGGATTCAGTGGCCATCAAAGTCGCTCGTATTCTTCCATATTGCCTCATAATCATCGTATCTCTGATTGGAAACTCCATGGTTATCGCTGTTGTGCGAAAGAACAAGCGCATGCGGACCACTGTGAATTTCTACATTGTTAACATGGCCGTTGCGGATCTGATGATCACATTGTACATGCCTAGGATGTTCACTATGGCGATGTTTGGCTTCGAATGGGTCGTCGATGGAACCGCTGGGCTTGTCTTCTGCAAGCTCTCCATCCTCCTCAATCAAACGCCGATGATAGTTTCTATCTTTACGGTGGTCGCTATCAGCTTTGATCGCTTTAATGCTGTGGTCTTTCCCCTGCGAACATTTGTCTCTGCGCGACTTTGCAAAATCGTCATAGCATGCATGTGGCTTCTTGCATTGGCTTTTCGCATTCCCAGCGTTTACGCCGTGCGAACGATGATTGGTCAGGATGGAAAACTGTACTGCAATCTTCTCCTTGATGACACATTCGGCGAGGTAGCCAAAAAAGTTTACTATCATTTTAACATGATAGCAATCTTCTCAATTCCTCTTCTTACGATTATGATCTTGTACACCGCCATAATTGTCACTTTGAAAAGACGAAAAGCTCCCGGTCTTACACCTGAAAATTCGTCCAACAACAGCGAAGGGTTCCGACGTAGAGAAGTTGTCAAAAAGAAAGTCCTTCGCTTGGTATCCATCGTAGTCATCGCCTTTGTACTCTGTTGGTTTCTGTATTACGTTAGACTCAGCATGTATGCCTACGGACACGATCTTCCCTGTGACTGGCTACATGTGCGACTTGTCCTGGCTCATTTTAACAGCGCTTTAAATCCATGTTTGTACGCCGTTTTCAGCGAAAACTACCGCAGGGGGTTCAAAAAGATTGTAGTCCGATTTTACTGCCGAAGAAAGCGCTCTTCGAGTCAGAGTGGAGATTCGCTAGGATCCCTTAGAAGAAGGCAACCAGCTTGGGACAGTAATGGTAGCATAAGCATTCGGATCGAAAAGGAAATTCAAAAAATTTCTTCCTTATAACCTTGCGGTATCTCTGCTAAAGAAAGCAGCGGAAAAGGCCGATTTGGCGGGTTAAAACTGCCGCAGATGGCTTTTAATAAGTTATTCGGTAAACCACGTATATTTAGCGTGACCTTTTTATTAGGCGCTGACATAGAGAGGATATTCGAATGTACATGTTCTTGTTGGGTGCAAAATTTTATCAATCACAGCCCTCATTGATATATGAAGCTATTTATAAAGCAAAATGTTATTCGGGAAAAAAAAATCTGGATGATTTTATCATCAGCAAGGAACGAAGTTCATTCATAGTATGGATTTTGTAATATTTGTTCAAAGGATTTTAATGTAAATCGCCTTATAAACCGCTTTAAAAGCTGGCAACTCCAAAACTCTGTGATGTGAATTCAAAATCCGTTCAAATAACAACCAGCGTTTTTAAAGGTGTCAGACTAATACTGTCTTCCTGAAAAAATTACGCACGGAAGTATTTGCATAAGAAAAAAGCCACATAGGGACAAATTTTATGACGTTTTTTCTGCAAACCGTTTGACTGGAACCTATATTTGAAATGTTGACTCTTCAGTATTTCATACAATTTCAAAAACCAATATGTAATGTTATGAATGTTATTACAGTGTACCAAACTAAACTGAACGGAAATTACGTTTAGTCACGGCTGCTTCATTTGAAGAAATTTTTAGACTTGACAAAGAGAAAAAAAATATGACAAATTTAACTTGTCAATATTTACTTATGCAAACACATTTTTCCTTGTTTGATGGACATGACTTTATATAGAGTTGTGTTTTTGTTTGTTTTTGGAAATGTAAATCAATTTCATTTTTTTTAAGCTAACAGCATGGGCGTGGACATGGAATAATTCAAAACGAACTAAAGCTATAATCGATCAATGTATTTATACAATTTGTGCGCAAAATTGTTAATGCTTTGACACGGAATAAATTGTGTGTGTAGAGACGTCAATGCTTCGACACGGAATAAAATAATTACTTGACCGTTGTGTGACAGGTTTTGCAACAAGAAGCATTAAGTGATTGCTTAAAAACACAACAACGACAGTAAAATGTTAATATTGATGTAAGTTGCCCCTTTCTTTGCCGAGAGATCTGGGAACAAAATTGGCTCATTTCATGGCTTGGGTTTAAACTCACTGCATTTGCTTTTGGTTAGTTTACTTTAAAATTGAGTGATTTTAAGAAAACGCATGCAACCTTAAAACTTTTCACACGGCCAATAAGAAAGTAATACAGTCAGCTAAACTTGCACATTCAAACCAGTATAAAAAAAAAATAAAAAAATAACGAAGGAAAAGAAAAGTCTTATCAAAGTGCTTATTAATATTCATACTCAGCAACTAAAGATACGTGAAGTTAATTTAAATACCTTTCGTATTTCGTTGTCCTCTTTGTTACTTTATGATAATTGCTTTCTGTGTTAGTAAAATATAGTGACATAAATGATTTTACACGGTAACTCTTGATAGAAATAATTTTATGTTATTGTACATCATTGTACCATACATTGTGCAAAATTTCTCATTTGTCCAGTACAAAAATATTATCTAAAGTGCTTCTTTTCCCATTCCACGGGCCTTTCCACCTTCAGGAATGATACCTATAGATAATTGCATGTTTTGTGTCAGTGTAAGTAACTAAAATAATAATAAAAAATAACTAATAAAATCAGGTAGATTAGTATATTTTGCGTGTTTGTTTGCAATGTTAAATGCAAAGCCTAATTCCATTTTTTTACGCTACATATGGGATGTCCCAATACAATATCTGGCTTTACTTTTGTGCATATTTCCAATTCTATTTTTGAATTTCTTCTAGGGCTATTATTTTCTAATGAAAGGCACTTGAACCTAACAGTCCTTTTGTCTATTCAAAAGTGCATGTGAGTATCGGCAAATGGGCCATATTCGTATTCTCGGTATTGGACTGGAACTAGCTTGCAATGGAGGCTCATGTGGGGAAATATCATTAAGGTGGCCGAACACAGTTTTCGCGCGCGCTTTTGCTGATGCAATTCAGTGCGTGCACAAGGATTGCAAAAAACAAACATGCCGTCAACAGAGCGATCATTTTATTTACTCAATACCCGCACTATCTGTGCTATTTTTCTCTATAATTGAACGCAGTGT